GGCTTGGTAAATAATATTAAGTAATTTGGTAATAATTACTAAATAGTTTGAGTCTTACCAAAGTATTTCGTCACATTTCATGTATATTTATCATATAATGTGGTAAATATTACTAAACAATATAGTTTTATTTAACAAATTATATCATGATAAACCACAGAAGTTGATAATTGCTAAATCTTATTAACAGATACCAAATTTTGGCTAGATATTAAGTTTTATTATTTATTAATACTTACCAAATTATTTTATTATATTTATCATCCTGGTAACTATTATCCAGGTTTAATAATTATTATCAAATCTTTTATTTAATATATTTGAATTATGAATTAGAGAAAATTGATGAATAAATTGGACTAATGCACGCGATTCTCTTTTTCTTTGCTAAATAACTTTGCTAAATAACTCTTCTTTAAGGAACTACTCAATATACTCAAAATATATGTATGATTATTCGCAAAATGGTAGAGAACTTTTCCGTTCAGTTTGATCTAATGTCAAAACTCACAACGATCCAGCGTACTTACCCTCACGCTTTTTACCATGTCAAGCGCAATGATTCACAACTCTTTCGCAATTGATAACTCAAAATGTTACGTGATCGTTTGCAAAATGGTAGAGGTCTTTCTCGTTCAGCTCGACGAGCTCCACCTGCATACCACTGCAGTCTCTGCGCCTCGAATGACCCGACACCCTGTATATTGATATGTAATTTACTATGACCAATATACCGGGTAATCTATTCATAAGGGAAGATACAGTTATGCGTGAGCAATTATTTAAATAAACAGCGACAGCGCGCGTCGTTTGAATAATTGCCAACGCCGGGGAGCGAGCACGATATGTACCGCGAAATACATGGTTATCGTGACAGAATTATTGGGTCGCGAGAGACACTCGTTCATCAGATAGTAGTTTAAAGAGACCCTCCATCGTACACCATCTCCGGGAGCTTTACACCCGGGATAAGAGCCTCTCGAACAATCGCGCGATATCGGGGGCTGCAATCTAAGCTGAACAAGATTAACGCATTAACCTCGATTTATCCGATCGACTATTAAGATTAGCTGTAACGCGACATTCGCCGGCACAGAATTACTTCCGAGCTTTTGTCACGGCGTCCGACTATCCCGCCCATGCAAATGAGTCGACGCAGCACAGAAATCTAACAAGGAAACCCACACAAGCCGCCGATTTTCATGAACTTGTATACGGAGAAAAATAACTTTGCTCTTTTAGCAAAATCGTCGTTGCTACTGCAGTGACAGCAAAAAAGTTTAGTTTACATAAATAATTTTACAAATTATTCGTTATCAGAGCAGAAGTAATTTGGTAATTTCGATGCCAGGATAAAAAAAATTTGTTGAGTGTATTTGTCCTAAGAATCTCGTTAATTTGCTATTGATGCAAAATGATGTATCCTTAGCAAATTTATTTGCTATCGGAGCAAAACTGTAACTGCTTATATAAATCCATTGTGGTTCTTAATTTAAAAAAATAATTTAGCAAAATAATTTTCTTAATTTTGCTTAATTTAGCAAAATAATTTGTAGATTCAGCAAATTATATCCAGCAAATAGTGATTAGTACTCTTAGCAAATCCTTTTGCGGTCCATATAATAACGAAAAGATATTGCTAGACCAGTAGAAAATTTTCTGGGCCAGCAAATTATTTTTCCCCGTATGTAAAACGCAGAAGTTCATTCGCGAAGGAAAATTAATAATAATAATGTAATATTAATAATACACTTGGACGGTTCTATAATGTACATGATTCACTTTTTTAATATTGCAGATTGACTAATCTTCACGTAATATCGTTAAAATCTCGTTTCAACTTCATTATGTTGCGATAGTATCGCCGATGGCGTAATGGACATTACCACGAGTTTATGTTGTTTCCGTGCAAACGAGAAATCTATATGCTTTTAGACTATATTCTACTAACCATCGGGAATTTTAGAAATTTATGAGTTCGTGCAGTCTGCGAAGTAGTCGATATAAATATACTATACTCCGGAAAGTGGAAGCAGAAAGTGCAACTTCACATTCGTCTTCATAGCGACTCCTATCATGTCGCCTTTACTTAAGGAAAAAGAATCGTTTAATCGATTCTGCAAATCTATAGTTTGCTGAGCAAAATTAAATTACAAATTAAGTTACAAATTAAATAGATTTGCTAGCGCAGCAAAGATAGTAAGTTTAGAAGCAATTGTCAACTCACACAAAATGAATTCATTTTTATTGATATTATTTTAGTTATTGCAACAAATCTTTCCGTATCTTTTAGCTAACTGAAATTTGCGAAGCAAATTTATTAATTTTACTAAATAAATCATACAATCATTCAATAAATAATAAATAAATATTTATGAAGAGTTTACTTTATGAAAAAATACATTAACTGACAATGATTGCAAATCAACGCAATGTGAAATATGTTAATATGCGTTACGCAATTTACACTTTATGTTAATAATTGTATATATTTGTGATGTAACATATTGATATAAATTTTATATGTGTATTTACGCTTATAATATTTTGTTATATTATTTAAACGAGAGGGAGAGGATTTGCAAAGAGTAAATATTTTAAGACACATTTTTCAATGAGCATTTTTGCCTCAGCTAATTTCTGTTGCTGGAACAACTGCTGATTTAGCTATATTGAAATCCTTTAATGTACCAAATTTTCTTTAGAATGATTAGTTGCATATAACCAAATTTTTCATTAGTGGTCATCATTATCTTTGTTATTCTAACAAATCTGCCGTGCTGTATCACACTTTATTAGATACAACCACAAATCTTATGTATCTCTGCGATTTGGTTATTTTAACATAGAAAACTGGCTGTCCATATATGTATTACGACTACAGATTGCTAGGCTAGCGAAGTTTTCAGTTGTGACAGTCAATATTTTTTTTCCGCGAAACCTCGCGAGCTTTCAAAACGCGAGAATTATTTTTAAAATATTTTATACAAGCGAACAGAATTGTTAAAATATCAATATTGACGTCTTTAAGGAATTGAAGTAGATTTTATTGCTATTTCTTTTTCTCAGATCTCAGATTAAATTCACATTGCGACGCGGACAAGAAAAGATTCGCTGCCACAACTGGGAAGCTCACCCATTCATATGCCGATCTCACATTTAAGATTGTCTTAAGTTCATCTTCAGATGTTCTCAATGAAACATTCCGAAGTACAGTATCCGAAGGTGAACTCACGACGCTGTTAAATCTAAAATTTCATTATCAATTCTGAGTCGCAGCTTGCATAAGATTTGTGGTTGCATCTAATGATGTTTGATATCACGGCGGATTTGTTAGCACAACGAAGATGATTCTCTATCACTATCAAACACTAAAACACAACTTGTTACATGCAACGAAACTTTTTGCTGTTATAAAGGAAATTTGATACATTAATGGATTTCATTGTTAAATAATCAATTGTTTCGGCAATAGTAGTTAGTAACAACGCTTATTGAAATGTCTGGAATATTTACTCTCTTTAACGATTCAGATAGTGTAACAAAATATTATAAATGTGAAAATACACACACATAAAGAGATACATATAATTTAGACGAATATATTCTATCACACAAGTACATATTAATATAAAAAAAAAACTTAAATTGCGTAATACACATAACATATTTCTCATTGCGGATATTTGCATCTAGATTTAATAGGAGTATACTTTTGTATAAAACGAACAAAAATATTTCTTTGTTATCTATTAAATAAGTGCATGCTTTGTTTAGTAAAATTAATTTGCTTCGCAAACTTCAATTAACTCGAAATACGAAATAACTTATTGTGGTAAACTTATTGTGGTAAAAATACTAATTCTTGGACACATATCTGATTCCGAACATCCGTGTTTTGTTCTGATTTTTAAATAAAAATCTTTAAACTTTCAGTATTAAATACACATATATATAAACGTATACATATAATATATGTATACATATTCTATATTAGAAGCTTAAAGACTCATATCTAAAGACCAAAACAATACGAATATTCAGGATTAGATACGTGTTTGCAAATTATAGTTAAGGTACTTTTACTTTAATTAAGATAATATCAACAAAAAAATTAGTTTACACCATGGACAAATTGGTAATAGCTTCCACACATAATTTTCTTGCTGCACTAACAAATCTGCTTAGTTACATTTAATTTTGCCCAACAAACAAATTACAGACTTGCTGTGAATCGATCAAACCATCCTATCGCAAAGAGAGAACCTTCACAGAGAAAAATAATTTTGCTCTTTTAACAAAATCGTTACTGCTACTGTATATTCATAGTGACATAAAAAAAATTTAATTGGCATAACTAATTTTACAAATTATTCGTTATCAGAGCAGAAGTAGTTTCGTTACCAGGATAGAAAAAATTTGTTGAGTATATTTGTCCTAAGAATCACGTTAATTTGTTACTGATGCAAAATAATGTATCCTTAGCAAATTTATTTGCTATCGGAGCAAAATTGCAACTGCTTATATAAATCCATTGTGGTTCTTATAGCAAAATAATTTGTAGATTCAGCAAATTATATCCAGCAAATAGTGATTAGTACACTTATCAAGTCTTTTTGCTGTCCATATAATAACGGAGAGATTTTGCTAGACCAGCAGAAAATTTACTGGGCCAGCAAATTATTTTTCTCCGTATTGCTCACATTAAAAGAAGATAAAAAGAAGCGACAAATAACAAGAAAGAAAATTTCTCGCGCGCCAACATCAATTCGCGGATCTCTGTCTGAAATCGTTCAGCGTGATATACACGATGTAAGCAAGAGGAGCGAGAGCGGCGTTTACATGGCGCGTTATATTCATGAAAATGATATGTAGACCGACCGTGCTATTTTTCCAAGGACCGGCGCGAAGCCATACATATTTTCCCGCGGGATTGATAGAAAGCCACGGGCTGCGTGGTTTAGGAAGACCTACCCCTAGCGGGGAATGGTGGCTCCTACCTTTACGTGGCCGTATTTCCACGTGAAAAGAACGACGGCTGGCAAGCAGGCGATGATGCAGCACTCCAGGATCAGTATCGCGGTTCTCATCAGCCAGTTCAGGGACACCACGCAAGGCGATCCGTCCTCGCAGGACTCGCACCCTTCGGCGCACGGCAGGCACTCGAACACTCCACTCTCGGCATATTGGCTCTTTTCACCCTGTTGACGAACGTGAAATTATTCTCCGCGGGGCGCGCTTCACTATTTTGCGGGAATGTGGAGCGCGGCAAGCGTTATCCCGAGATTGGTCACCGAGCCTGTGCGAAACACGGACGAGCAGAAACTTCCTATTTTCCGGAGAAAAATATTTGACACGCCGCGTTCCCCTTCCTGCTCCCTTGCGATCGAAATTTCGCTTCGCGGCCAGAATCAATCTTGACTCGCTGGACATCGTTGGGGCTCCGCTTAGCTAATAGCATCCTAGCTGGGAATATTTAACGAACCTTTTGTTCGATCAATCGACGACTGACGTGCGAGTGATCGATTGGGACGTTATCACGGACGAAGGCACATTTCTATTTCTTCGAAATAGAAAAGCGATACAAAAATCGGGGTTGTCGAATCTCCGGTTTTTTTCCCCCTTCACGGACGTCTCTCCCGTAAGGAGCTCCGAAATAACGTCCACGTCACACGTGTCAAGCGTGTCGTTAACATTCCGGGGGTTGGTTATTAACGAAATTAACGAAACTCGAGGTCCATCATGAACATGTCGCGTTACAAACGGTCGCGCAGGCTGCCGAAGGGCGCGACTGGAAAAACCGTTTTACTAGCGCTGCCGCGATGGAAATGCCCGTCAAATCACAAAAGATACGTAACTCTCTGTGACAATAGATGCCATCGCGCTCGCTGTCGATACCCATTTTGCTCCTACGGGCGCAGAAGTGACGGCTGGCCCGACGTGAAAACTGCGCCGGGAGGGGAAAAAAAGGCGCTTCACACCGTCGCGGTAATAGAATGCGCGGTAACGTGCATTGCGTCGCAACGCTGTAGTCGGACGAACGATTTAATTGCAGTTTCGCGCAGCGATTCTTTTATTTGCAGGATTCTATTTTTTGAGCCGAACGCAGGGAGAGAGACAGAGAGTTGTACGCGGCAGAAAGGTGAGAGATGACCCGACATTGTGAGTTTGGGCTTGACTCCGTTTTCGTACTGCACGCCACAGCAAATTACACTTGCGTACATTCAAAGAGAATTGTGCCATTATTTTATGCTGCTATCATTGTTATATTATCATTATTAATATCACCATATTTTTATTGTGTCTATGTTATGTCTATGTACAACGTCAGATGTGATATTACGTATGATAAGTGACAGTGTTGGGTAACAACCAGTTAATCAATTAAGAATTAAAATGTTCAAAAATTGATAACTTTTAACTTACCCTTAGTTATTTCAAAACACTGACTTTAATTTATTAACTTTCTTTATATAAGGCGAAACAATCTGTTGGGGTATTTACACTGAGAAAAAATTATATTAAAATCAACAAATATTTCTTTGGGTTCCATTAACATACTTATTTAAATCTACATTCTCTTTATTTAAACCAAATATTGCTTATTTAAATCAAGTAAACAATATTTGATTTGAATAAAGAGAATGTAGATTTAAGTCAATATATTAATGGTACCTATCAAAGGAATATTTGTTGATTTTAATATAATTTTTCTCTCAGTGTAAATCATTACAAGTTACTGACAATGTAAAATAAGAAAAATAAACACTTTTCTGTCTTTCTGAGCGCCAATATTTCTTCTTGGTCAGAATTCTCAGCACAAAACAATCGGCATTTCTTTTTTTATAAGACATTACTTTTTCACTAATAGTTCGCAAATTTAATGAGTTAATTAAAGAGTTAATTATACAAAAATATATATATTGTTCTGCATATTTATTCTTAACTTTAATGAGTCAGTGTTTGTTTATGTCAGTTTTAACTTAAATTAATTTAGGGATCATTAATTTAACTTTAAACTCAACCCTTTGGAAGCACCGTCGTACAAATTTGATTTTTTCAAAAAGTGATTTTTTTTTAATACAATTAAATGTAAATCAATTTTTCACTCTTTTATTACTTTCTTATCAGCTTTTATATTATCATCGTCAAATTTCTGATCTTCTTCACTCATATTAAAGAAAAAAAATTAAAGTTGAGCAACCTGGAGCCGAGTTATAAGTCGGCAAAAATTCTTGATGCAAATTTGCATCTGTGCGCACTTGGTGTCTTCCGCCAGATGTGTGCGCTTGCAAGGTTATAAAAAAATTAACGGAGCCAACCATGATAAATGATAATATATCGTTTCTCTCACCTAAAATAATATAAATGCATTCTTGGCAGGATCCTTTTATATTCGACTTTAAAAGGATTCTTTTAAAACCAAAGGAAAAATATTCGATGCACAATATTATTTCTCTTCGTTGCTCTTTCGGCAAAAGTTTTAACTTAAAATAAAGTCGAACCATATAATACGTCCCACCTTCTTTTTTTGCAAACTGAAAGTGAAAACGACGCAAGAGTAACCTATTCTTATGCGTCTCAGTGTATCTCTCGTTAGGATGCAGGACGATCTTCGACGTTGTCCCGCTGTTAAATATTGATATATTTAACAGATATATCAAAAGGAAACTTCTCAATATTGCAGGATATATTTAAACGAACTGTCTACAAGTTTATATTTTAGTTAGAAATAGTTATTTTATAATATTCAGGTATAATTTGTCCACGTGAAAATAGCTTCAAATGGCTCTTTAACTTTATCTACGTTTGAACTAATCCATGTCTAATTTTAATCTATGTCTAGTCTATTAGTCTGGATGAGGTAGTTTGCACTACGGAAATTGCAAAACGCCTCACACACAGCACGTGTAGTCTATGTACGTTATTCACAGATATGAGGCGAAATTATGTGCGAAAAGCTGTGAGAGTTCATTTAGTTTCAAGTTCCGACGAATTGTTGGATGGAAACATACATTGCAAATGTGTGGAATGTGGCGAAAAGCACTGAGAAAATATAATACATTGAGAAAAAAACCTGAAAATTTATTCATATAAAGTTTATTTCTTGATTGCTGATGAGTTCAGGAAGATAGGGAGGAAACACAACAGGCTTCGTATGTTACCACAACAATACAGAAGCGATACAACTGCTAAACAACAGAATTAACAAGAAAGCGTAGTAGAGTGAAACCTTTCGTGCTAATTTGAACTAAAAAACTAAGCAACATCAAAAGGAAGAAACTTAGCACATTTAATTAAATGTCTCAACATTATTAGAAACAAATTACTCGTTAGTCTATAGACTAGTTGTAATAAGTCATTCATTAAAAAAATATATACATACGAAGTTTATTTCTGTTTAATAAAGTTTATTTCTGTTGATAAATTTTATATCCCACACACACAAATTTTCAAGCATTTTTTTCTTAGTGTACAAAATTGAAAGATAGATGGATGCAGTATCAGTCTTCGATTGGCTGCATGAATCATGCACAATTGGATGTTTTTCGCATCGCTTTTCTCACTTGGAATGATTTTCTTAATGTTATTTAAAGAGATATATATATTATCGCAGGAAACCTGAGACGTTTTACACCAGCAGGCTGTTGACAAAACTGAAATTTTTTTTTTTTAATTTCTTTTTCATATCCATATTTTAATGTGTGATAATTTTCAAAAAAGAATTGAAAAAGTAACGTTTACAGCCGAATTAATTAAAGTTGGGATAAAGATATATGTGAAAATGAACGTTTTATTAGTATTTACTTTATTATGAGGCGTATTACATATAGTCTTACCCTACGGGATTACGAGAAATAACACCTTGCAACTAGAATTTTCTTTCTAGAGGAAAAGGCGAGATAAAACATTTTTCTTTTGGTTTTAGAAGAATTCTCTTCAGAGATATATATAACCATATATAAGAGGTTACCCTGTCAAGGTTAATATTAAATTTTTCTGGCTTTTACCTACATGGATTTTAATAATACCTTGATCTAGTCCTTTAAATTGCGAACACTTCCATGTAATTAACAACAATTCATAATCAGCAGCCCCAAGAACCTACATATTGCATATTTTATTTTTCAACTTTTCCTTACAGAACTTAAGAAATAAGTTACTTGTTAAATAATATTATTAAATATATAATACAAATGTTAAATATGTATTATAAATACTTGTTAAGTATATTATTAAATTTTCTTAATAGACATACATAACAAAAAATTCATACTTCTATTAATTTACAGCTTTGGACGAATCCCCAAATTTTTCACTCCTGTCAGGATTCTGTAACCCTCTAATGCCCGACAGAAAAAAAGCAAATAAACTATTATTTTTGTATTCTATGTGTGAGCCGAATTTTAAAAAATCGCGTAGATTTATTCTTAAGAAATATTGCTTTAAACATGCGTGAGGTATCGTGTATTTGCATAAAATTAAAAAAATCGATTTGAGAACTGAGAAAATAATGACGGATCTCTTCGTACGAGGGTAGGGTGAAAAGTTCCGGGCCTCACATATAGATAACTCTACTATGTTCAATATTTTAATAGTGTTGCATGATTTAATTCTTCATATGCTTATATACGAAGGTTCAAATCGATAAATTGTTTAGTATTGGTTTAATAGCTCGCTAAAGTAAACGCATTGTTTGTAAAAATGGAAAAAGTGCCGTGATTAAGCTAAAATCAATGAATTAAAGTTCGAATCGCTTGTCCATCCACCACACTCGTCAGATTTAGCCCCAAGCGACTTCTAATTCTTTCCTAACCTCAAAAAATAGCTTGGTGGAAAAAGATTTGCGAACGACAATAAAGTCAGCGACGCTGTAAATGGCTATTTTGAAGATCTTGACAAATCGACTTATCAGTCTGGCATAACCGCTTTAGAATATCGTTGGGAAAAGTGTATCGCGCTAAATGGAGATTATGGTGAGAAATAAATAAAAATCAATCCAAAAAAATGTCTTATTCAGGCCCGGAACTTTTCATTCTACATTTGGGCACGAAAGATAACTGCGAATAATTTGAGACGTGTGACCTTTCGCGAGGTTTGTGTACTTGTAAGTGTATGCAAATCGATAATCGACGATATACGTACACAAGATACTCCACTATTCAAACCGTTAAATTTTAACGGCAGCTTTTTTGATTAATTTGACGTGACTCTCGGCTCTCGGGGAAAACTCCAAATTTATCGAAGGAACTGTTATTAAAGCCGCGAACGCAGATTGAAATTTGATGAGCCCAGAGCGAAACGTCCAGACAGTCGCATTAACATAATTTCGCCATTTCTATAACAAGGTGGTCCCTATCTGTACGGGAAAGGGCTCTCCGTGAGAAACGATTTAGTATCGCCAAGCAGCATTAATTCTTCGGCGGAAAGCGCGGGAAGCATAAAGCAGAGGGAAGTGTTTTTTTTTTATTGTATGTTCAGTTTATCTCCAAAGCCCACCACTTACCATCATCAACTTCTCGTACTCCTCCTCTATGACGGTGCCGTTGTAGTACCTCTTGTCCGATTTCGTGTCAGGGTAGTAAAAGCCTCGCTTGCAAACACACCGATAACTACCACGGCGGAAACCAAGGCCGGAAATAGCGATACACTGCGAACAGAAGACAACACCGTTAATCGTATCTCTAATAGACTCTCTCCCTTCTCTCTCTCTCTCTCTCTCTCTCTCTCTCTCTCTCTCCCTCTCTCTCACGCTCTTTCCATTCGTGTCTAGTACGCAATTACGATCTCTAAATCCAGCATTTTCCCGAAATTGAAAAATCGAAAAATATCGCGCAGCTCAAACTTTGCAAATTGATGGAAAAATTTCACGACGAGTGTACTTTAATTTAGAGTTTAAAGGTACATATACATCTCTGTTTGAAGAGATAAAAATGAACACGTTTCATCGGAACGAATCACGCGTTACGTATACGCAAAAAGTGTTGAGGCACGTTATTTTTCGCATGCATTGCCGCAGATACCGTTGTTTATTTACAGGGGAATAACAGGGTTTATTTAAGCGAGCGTGGCGATATTAAAAAAAAATGTCAATGTTATTGGCCATAAAGCGTAGGCATTTTTTCCTGTGCATGGGTGAAAATCCTGTCGGAATGAGCCGGCAATCCAAACAATCGTTGAGAGTATATTATCGGAGCGCGTGTCGGTTATTTTGTGTGTGCGCGTGTGTAAGTCACGAGGAAATTAAACCGGAACGAAAAAAATCTGCGGAATGACAGGGATGAAAGTTAAAAGTGGAGAACCGTGAAAAATGGCTCTTACGTCGCTGTCGGCGGTAACTATTGCACGTTCTCGCCGTTAATGTGTGCGCGGCTCGCGCCGCGGAAGGAAGCGGCGTTTCAAACATTTCCTCCAAATTGCAATCCTCGCCCGAGTACGTGAGTTATCGTGACCGCGAATCGGAAAAACGCGGTTTCGGCGGAGCACGTTCCAGAAGTCGGGAGTTTACATAACGCAGCGGCCGACAGTAATGTGTGTTGTATGCCGCTTCTTGCGCGATATACGACATTTTTCTCGCGGCTCTCACACGCGAGGAATAACGAGACACTTGTAAATTTATGCAGCGGCATGTCTCGTCAACGGGGAGAAATATGTTAAAAATATATTAACAGCGACCAAAGAGCACACACGGTCGCGATTCCGGAAAGATCACTCATGAAAAATTCAACGAAACGATACCAGATACTCCGAAATTATTTTTGGCGCGATTGAAAATTAACTGGGATATAACTGGGTTTGAATAATGAATACAGTTGTTCTCCATCGCTTATTTTGTTATCGTGCACTTTATCACTCACTAGCTAAAATTATTCCGGCGCTGTCCGGCGGGTTATCGCAAAGTGTCGAGGGGATAAAATGCAGGGACAGGGGGTGGGATGTCCAGGTTTCGTGGAGTCTATATTTTCCGCAGAGTCCTAGGGAGTAACTGTGCAAAATTTAGTCCAGAGAGAGAGATAGGTTAAAGAGTTTAAGAGTATGCAGACAACAGACAGACAAATAATCAATTTTACATAATATATATTTGAATATTATTACACACACACACACACACAAGAACATTATAAACTTTAACAAAGAAAAATTCGGTTCAACTCTACGTCGTAAGCAAACCGAGTGTTTCCTTTAATTTAATATTCTTGATTGAAACTTACTGGGATTCAGAATGTATTTTGAGTACTTGGAATAAATTTGATGCTTACGCTATGAACTTACAACAGATTTGTTGTACAACTTGGATGTATAAACTTATATGAAATACTTGAAACGAATAATATTTACTTGAATGAGTGTTTCCTTTAATTTAATATTCTTGATTGAAACTTACTGGGATTCAGAATGTATTTTGAGTATTTGGAATAAATTTGATGCTTACGCCATGAACTTACAACAGATTTGTTGTACAACTTGGATGTACAAACTTATATGAAATACTTGAAACAAATAATATTTATTTGAACAAATAAAATTTACTCGAACATACTGTGTATATTTTTACGTGTATACGAAAAATAGAAATATGAACGTATTTCTAATCTTCAGTGACTTTTTGTGAGTATTAAACGGGCAATACATCCTCAAAGATACGCATACGTTGCGAACTCGAGATAATATAGCGGGTGAAAATTGCGTTCATGTAACGACAAATCTGTTCAAAGTTTGATGGTGAAAAAGAAATTGCCGTCACGTTCGCCGAGGAAAAGAAGATGCGCGATTATCGATACGCTTGATAAGCAGCCAATGATCTCTAAGTGCGAAAACAAGAAACCATCCGAGAGTTTCGGAAAGTGAGAGCAAGAACGACAGAGAGAGAGAGAGAGAGAGAGAGAGAGAGAGAAAGAGAGAAAGGATGTTCAAAGAGCGGCTGAAAAATCCGCGGCTTAGTAACCCCTGACGTGCGTTTCCTCGCGAGTTTTAACCCTATGGCGAGGCAAAACACGCCGATAATGCTCGCGGTTTATTACGAAGGGGCGAAAAGCGGCGCGCAGAGAGCACGTAGAGTGTTTTTCGCGAACGGCAGCTCTCCTCGCGCGCGCAAGGCAAGACCGAGGGGTGGCATTTACAAATAGGGCCGGTCGACACGCGGAAAAACATCCCCCCGGTGGCTTTGTTCTGTTCTGTTCTGCGCGGCGCGTTTAAGCGCGCGCGAAAGGACACCCGGGAAACATCGATCTCGACACAAGCGTAGCGAGAAATTAGCATTACCTCTGTGGTGCGCTTTTTGCATTTGTCGCTGGCGGCGAATATGTTAAGCTGCGTGGAGCCGGCCGGCAGCGGGCACTGATCTATGTCTACCCTTCGGAGGTCTACGTCGATGCCGCTGGTGCCCCTGAAACGATAAATCAAACGTTTTGCGATTAATTCCACGGGCCTCCACGTAAGATGGGCACGACTTGAGCCGGCCTCGTTACCGTCCGCGGAAGGGGGTGAAATCCCTCTCCCTTCTCGGCGGGGAGGAGCGCGCCAAAGTCATTTATCGAAATTGAATTAGTAGCGGGGATTCGACATGTCTGTTTTTGCGCGGACCGGCTTCCCGGCAATTGATTAAATAGTTCTCTCGGCGGGAGAGCTGGAGTAACACTTGCTCGTAACTATGTCCTACGCGTAAAACGCGTGTCGAACCATTGAATAAAGAATATCAGAAAAGTGTTGCGATATATCGTGGGTAATCGATTGTGTTGTATTGCTTCAGCTTGATGACGTGAACTACGTCATAAATGACGTAGTCATTGAAGTCATCACTGAAGATTAGAAATACGCTCATATTTCTATTTTTCGTATACACATAAAAATATACATAGTGTGTATGACGTCATAAATTACCGGAGACATACGGTATACTTTAAACATCTTGAAAGTATATATAACAAAGGAATATTAATTTTAAAAGAATAATAGAAAAATTATATTTATATTTCGTTAATATTGGTGAGGGAAATAAAATTTGTCACTTGTAATAATTTTCTCTTCAATACGTTCGCGCATCTTTGTCTATTCGATCAATTGACAATATCACATAACATTTATTCGTAACATTTATTTCGATTCCATAGTATCGATAGTCGCATTTGGTTCACTTTTACTACGTCACATCCTTCAACACGGAGAAAAATAATTTGTTGGCCCAGTAAATTTTCTACTGGTCTAACAAAACCTTTCCGTTATTATATGGACAGCATTGATTTGAGAAAAGATTTGTTAAGAGTATTGGGAGTACAAATTAGTTCGGTCCGTTTTTTTGTGGTCAAAAATGCATTTATTTCAGAACAAAATGAATGAACAGATTAATCAAAGTATTGTGTTGAATATGTCAAATTTTGCGTTAACTAAGCAGCATTTGCGGGAGGTTTTAGTTTTCTGCTTTAATTGGAAGGAAAGTGCAGCTGAAGCGCATCGAATGCTTGTAGAAGTTTATGGTGACAATGTTCCAACTGATAAATTATGTAGGGAATGGTTTCGACGTTTCAAGAATGATGATTTCAGCGTTGAAGACAAGCCTCGCTCTGGACAGCCAAAAAAATTCGAAGACAAAGAATTGGAGGCATTACTTACGCTGGTTATTACTTTTTCCCACCTCTCAGGCACTTTTCGAATTCCATCTCGAAAAAATGTCTCGTTTTTTGAGGCGATCCAAGTTAGGAGCCAATTTTCGATTTCTGCAAAAGAAGTGAACCGGTGACCTGCCAAATCGTGCTGCATCCGTCGGAACAACCAGTAATCAGAAGGAGCAATGTCCGGCGAATACGGCGGGTGCGGTAAAATATCCCACTTGAGTGTTTCCAAATAATTTTTTACGACTTTTGCGACATGAGGCCGAGCGTTATCATGCAGAAGAATAACTTTGTCATGTCTTTGCTCGTATTCCGGCCGTTTTTCTCGTAATGCACGGCTCAAACGAATCAACTCCCAATGATTCTGCTAGCTCCTCTTGCGTTTGACTCGGATCTTCATTAAGTAATGCCTCCAATTCTTTGTCTTCGAATTTTTTTGGCTGTCCAGAGCGAGGCTTGTTTTCAACGCTGAAATCATCATTCTTGAAACGTCGAAACCATTCCCTACATAATTTATCAGTTGGAGCATTGTCACCATAAACTTCTACAAGCATTCGATGCGCTTCAGCTGCACTTTCCTTCCAATTAAAGCAGAAAACTAAAACCTCCCGCAAATGCTGCTTAGTTAACGCAAAATTTGACATATTCAACACAATACTTTGATTAATCTGTTCATTCATTTTGTTCTGAAATAAATGCATTTTTGACCACAA